TGAGCGGTGTAGTAAAGTCACTAGATAACGAAGTACCGCGATGGGAAAATTGAAGTGACGTATCTTTGGAGTCAAAATGATGTCAAGTGCAGATATTGCATTTAGTGTAATGTATCTATGTATCAAGTGCAATCCAAAGTGCAATTCTAACCTGGTTGCATTCATACATAAGTTTGAAATAACCGCGTCATGGAGCCAAAATGGCGGCAATTCGCGGTACTTCGTTAATCTAGTGACTTTAGGTTGTAGTACTGAGGGCCACTGTCACCAAGTTCAGTTGATCTAACTAGGCCAGTTAGTCCATCGGAATTGACCAATCGCATTTGTCAATTTGTTTGAAGAATTGACAGATTGGTCAATTCCGATGGATTAATTGGTCCAGTTAAGTTAACTGATCTTGGTGACAGTGGCCCTGAATGCACCTAATATAACGATATCAAACTGTCGTTAAAAGTTAGGCTGCCCTCCCATGGAGAAAGAAACCACGGAACGGAATATTGACAGAAAAGAGATAGGACGAGGGTTATCCTCATCCTATCTCTTTTCTGTCAATATTCCGTTCCGTGGTTTCTTTCTCCATGGGAGGGCAGCCTTACAGAATAGCCCTACAAAGGAGCTGAAAATTCAATGAGATTTAAAATTAATTTGGTTTATTTTCATGTTTGATAATTGGAACGAGATGCTGATAATTAAATAAAATTTTAAATTAATTAAAAATTTTATTCAATTTTCAATTTCTCCTTTCCAATTATCAAGTAAGTACATATGATGTCTATGTATCCCTATCTACATATATTATATAGCTTACTTACTAGATAGACTTATTATGTGATACAATTTAGTTTAATTATACTTACTTTTTTATTTTTTAAATAAAATTTAATTACTTGATCACGAAATTTATTCCAGTGTCGTTTAATTTATAATAATTTAATTTTTTAATTTAAAATTATTATGTTTATCCCTACCTATCCATACGTGTCCTACCTACCCGTATTTCCATTTTTACGTGCCTATATTCGCGTATCCTATCTCCACCCGTATATATATTCCTACCCATGTACAGCACCGATTATTACGGAAAGTTTCTCAGAAATGTTTCAACATTTCACGTCTCTCTCATGTGCAACAATTCTGAAAGGATTCTGCAATATGTCATATGAAATGTTTTAACAGAAATGTTTCTAAGATCTATTTGCCTAATTCTACAATGTGCTCTTTGTTTCCTGTTTCTTGCTATTTGTCTCTTGCCTTTTTGATCAAGAAGGCAAGAGACAAACAGCAAGAAACAGGAAACAAAGAGCACATTGTAGAATAGGGTTTACTTTGTTGAAAACCCTGGTGACCGCTGAATAAACATGTTGAGACGCTGAGTGCATCTAGGACATCCCGTATTCATAGCCAATTCTTATATACCAGAACGTCTTAAGTTCTATCTTGAGGTGTCACGAACCAATCAGAGGGCCGCATTAGCGACTTGAGATGTTATTTAAAACGGTCTTAAAATAAGAATCGACTATGAATACCGGCCTAAGACCGTTCAGTAGACATGAATGGGCGCGTTCAAGTTAATAAAGCGGCTAGCCTGCTCGCCAAGCAAATGAACATAATTGATACTTATAGATCCAACCAATCATGTTAGTTTACTTACTTCGTAATATGCGTTAATATTTCGACAGTTAGACGGTTGGCGCGCGGCCTTGGGAGGTTTGGGGTTTGTTTTGAAAGCGGCGGG